TGGGGGGGGGTCTGAATTGAGCGATCAATTATTAGACCCGGACGTCCCAACACTTGCTTCGCAAGACAAACTCAAGGTATCCCCTAAAGGGCTACCTTTCGTGATATCCCGTTCTGCACATCGAGGGCACTTGGTGAATTTGTTGACTCAACTTCTCTTCAGTCGCTTCCAGCTTTTGGAGCCATTGCATGATCTCCCCGGACGCCGTTGACCCCACCGTGCCTGACCTGCGCGTCAAAGCCCCGAGGCGATGTCTGCTGTGAGGGCTGCGAGGTCGCAACTCCACGTCATGTGAAGCATGTTCATGGCGGCTGGAATCATCACTGGCCATATTGAAAAGCAGTTTGCAAACAAAGAAAGTGGACATGTTCAAGAAGAATCTATGAAACGATGAGATGCAAACTATGATTGACAACATTCAAGTGGTCTAGCGGCTAGCGTATATATGGTGGTTGTATAGCATTTGCTGTAGTGTAATTGTGGTTGTAGTCACAGGGGCCTTGCTCTACACAATGAGCCAAGCGAATGGAAGAATAAGAGGAACATGGATTGACACACACACACACATATGTATCCCCAGCGCACGCCCTAGAAATGTGATGACATGATGACATGTGTAGGGTCTCTCTCTATATATATGGAAAAACATAGGGTTTCTGAAGGACCTCCGAAGTATTCCAGACCAGTACCAAAGTACAGGGTCAGTACGGGTTAAATATGGGTTTTGCACGGGGTTGAAAAGCACAACCCGAGTTCTCAAGAACACACCCAAGGTATGTGTATTTTAAAAAAACACACGTTTTAGATTTAGACCCTACACATTTATATTTATAGGGTTTTGGTGGGCAGGCTAGGCAGGATCTATCTATGAATAATTCTTGGAACTAGATAAATCACAGAGATTGCTTCCGCCGCATTCTTGACACATCCAGTCGCAAAGGCGAAGCCGCTTGGGTGAGGCTGAACTTTGACATCGGCCGAACGAGAATATTAGAGGAGGCAGCTGGGTAATAATTATTGGTTGTACACGACCGGGGGTATCCCCTGTATAAAACAACCAACCAACAGTAAAGGATCTATGCATGGGACATCAAATTGTTCTCAAAACCTCTGCGACCTCACTCCATTCCTATCATCCGAGGCCCACACAGAAGAACCAATGCAGGACTCAGCCTTGCGCCGTGCGGATTGGCGACTCCGGTGAGCTGGTCGACGCCGCGAGCAGATTGGTTGGAAGACTGAAAGGGAATGGTATGGTAAGGATGGGTTGAAGCATGTTGAAACTCTGAAAAAAGACACTGTTGACTGTTGATGGGAAAAAATTTGCACCCGAAGCCGTACCTACCACACGCCAAAATTTTGTTCATTGATCTGACGTCGCGGATGTTTCTTCTTCCTGCGAAACCACGAGCAGCAGTGGAGTATGGGCATCTCCGGACAGCGTGACCATCACGTGACGATCCCGTTGACCAGCCAGATTTCATTGGACCAGCTGTTCAATTGCTTGAACTGACTTGAATGGTCACGACTCGGGAGTTTCTTGTTGTTGCTGTTGTTGTTGTGTTTTTGAATGTACGTTCAATTAACCATGAAGCACAATGAATTCGTTCACCTGATGTGTTTATTTATATTATACAAAGTTATATACTATAATTCTGCTCGCCAGGAGCTCCAACGCGGGTGAACATGCAATGTAACCGTAGAGTAAGTTTCGACGATCTCCCGAAGAATGGTGGGCGTCAGTGTCATGGATGAGACAATCTTCCAAATGCATCCAATTTTGAACTATCTAGGACACTCAAAGGTTGCTTTAGTATTTAGGATGTTGCAACATAAGGACCAACAGTCTGTGATCATTGGTGTGACGAAGATCAAATGAGCTGAAAAAAAATCCGTTCTAAAATCATTATCCTAGCTTCAAAACACAGCAATTCCAAGCGGTGGCTTTCATGTAGACGACACCTCCTCATGTATATGGTTGTATGTTGCGCGTGCCGCTTTCATAGCTGCAGTCTGACTTACAGGTCGAACGGTTCCAAATGTGAAGCTGAAAGTAGCAGTCCCCTTATAAGCAACTTGCAGCAAGTTGTCAAGATATGATAGATGATTTTCCTATCGTTCTTCTATTTAATCGTTCTTACAGAACCCCCTACCCCAGCTGCCCTTCTCGTCTTTTCACTCACTCTCATCACCCCAGCGCAACGTCGTGCAGGCAATCCGCTTGTGCGCATGTCTCTAGTGTATTGAGTAGTAGCCCTGGTAAGCAGTTGGCCAAGTGGTCAAAGTTGCAAAGTGGTCTAGCGCGGATCTAGCGCGCTCCACTGCCAGTGCGTCAGGCCACCAACTGGCCGTCATCAAGAGCACGCGTTGCGGTCTGCCGGCTTTCCTATAGCTTTGAAATCGTTATACAACAGCTCTTCCACGCACAAAGAATCCGAAAAAACAATGGGAGCATGCCCGCAGTGGATGGGTGTCGGTGGCCCCTGCTTACATAAACCAATCACAACAAAACGGCGGGGTTATCCGTTCATACCGCAACAAGTTTAATTGCCAAGGTGTGTATGTGTTGTTTGTTAATCTTATACTGAGTATTTGAACCTACCACCAGACCTAGCGCAACCCTGCATTCTGCTAGCGCGGCAAGTAGCATCTCCAAGTTAAGCAACAGAATGCCAAGCGGTGGCCAGGCTATTTCTGAACCTCTGGGAACCTTCCTTACTTAATACATATTACCGGGTCTATTTTTTCAACTCAAATGGAGCCACACCTTGAGAGGCCTTTCCTGTGGCCCTTGATTCTTGGCGCCCCAGCCATTGGCCACCCGCCAAGAGAGCCTTGGCAACCATCTGGCCAACCACCTGCTAGCTCGCTCCAGAGCGAGGCTGCATCTGGATTCACTGGAAGGGATTTCGTCCGCTGTTCAATGGAAATGATCAATTAAAAATGGAACAAAAACTTCTTGCATGTTCTTTTTTCCAAGAGACCTGTCTTGCAGGTTGTTTGTTGAAGCAAACGGGACGAACACGTCCATTAAAAAAAAGCGTCCTTGCTCCTAGTAGCGATGCCAGGAGCCCTTAATAGCTTCTTGTTACTAGTAGCTTCTTGTTCCTAGTAGTAAGGCCAGGAGCCCCTAGTAATGTCCTTGCTCCTAGTAGCGATGTCAGGCGCCCCTAGTAGCATCTTGTTACTAATAGCTTCTTGTTCCTACTATTAAGGCCAGGACCCCTTGTAGCGTCCTTGCTCCTAGTAGCGACGTCAGGAGCCCCTAGTAGCTTCTTGAGCAGCGTCCTTGCTCCTAGTAGCGATGCCAGGCCCAGTAGCTTCTTGTTACCAGTCGCTTCTTGTTCCTAGCAGTAAGGCCAGGAGCCCCTAGTAACGTCCTTGCTCCTAGTAGCGATGTCAGGCGCCCCTAGTGGCATCTTGTTACTAGAAGCTTCTTGTTCCTAGTAGTACGCTCAGAACCCCTAGTAGCATCCTTGCTCCTAGTAGCGATGTCAGGAGCCCTCAGTAGCTTCTTGTTACTAGTAGCTTCTTGTTCCTAGTAGTAAGGCCAGGAGCCCCTAGCAGCGTCCTTGCTCCTAGTAGCGATGTCAGGAGCCCCTAGTAGCTTCTTGTTCCTAGTAGTAAGGCCAGGAGCCCCTAGTAGCGTCCTTGCTCCTAGTAGCGATGCCAGGAGCCCTATTAGCTTCTTGTTACTAGTCGCTTCTTGTTCCTAGTAGTAAGGCCAGGAGCCTCCAGTAGCGTCCTTGCTCCTAGTAGCGATGTCAGGAGCCCCTATAGTAGCTTCTTGTTACTAGAAGCTTCTTGTTCCTAGTAGTAAGGCCAGGAGCCCCTAGCAGCGTCCTTGCTCCTAGTAGCGATGCCAGGCCCAGTAGCTTCTTGTTACCAGTCGCTTCTTGTTCCTAGCAGTAAGGCCAGGGCCCCCTAGTAACGTCCTTGCTCCTAGTAGCGATGTCAGGCGCCCCTAGTAGCATCTTGTTACTAGAAGCTTCTTGTTCCTAGTAGAAAGGCCAGGAGCCCCTAGTAGCGTCCTTGCTCCTAGTAGCGATGTCAGATGCCCCCAGTAGCTTCTTGTTGCTAGTAGCTTCTTGTTCCTAGTAGTAATGCCAGGAGCCCCTAGTAGCGTCCTTGCTCCTAGTAGCGATGTCAGGAGCGCCTAGTAGCTTCTTGTTCCTAGTAGCGATGCAACGAGTCCTAGTAGCTTCTTGTTACTAGTCGCTTCTTGTTCCTATAGTAGTAAGGCCAGGAGCCCCTAGTAGCGTCCTTGCTCCTAGTAGCGATGGCAGGAGCGCCTAGTAGCTTCTTGTTACTAGAAGCTTCTTGTTCCTAGTAGTAAGGCCAGGAGCCCCTAGCAGCGTCCTTGCTCCTAGTAGCGATGCCAGGCCCAGTAGCTTCTTGTTACCAGTCGCTTCTTGTTTCTAGCAGTAAGGCCAGGAGCCCCTAGTAACGTCCTTGCTCCTAGTAGCGATGTCAGGCGGCCCCTAGTAGCATCTTGTTACTAGAAG